CAGCAGGTAAGTGTGAGCCAGGAGCTGGGGCTGTGCCCAGCTCAGGGCCGGGTGCTGAGCAGAAAGGTGGCTCTCCCCCTGGGGAGGGGCAGGGGATGCAGGGGTCTGGAGCAAGTCAGCTGGATGAGGAGCCACCTCTGTGACTGCTAGTGAGAGAACTGTCACCCCACTTGTCAAATCACGTCCTGCTAGTGATTGCTTCTGCTGGTTTTCCTTCTAGAGGGACAGAGCTGTCTGTAAGTGGTGAGTTGTTTTCAGCTGTTCAGGGTTTGATTCTCCACCACCGTGAATCCTGAGCTGCTGCCCTTGCTCTGGTGCAGCAGGCAGGTTCTCCTTGCAGGTGGGGAATGGCACCTTCAACCGCGCCAAGCTGCTCAACGTGGGCGTGCGGGAGGCCCTGAAGGACGAGGACTGGGACTGCCTGCTGCTGCACGACGTGGACCTGGTCCCTGAGAACGACCACAACCTCTACGTCTGCGAGGAGGAGTGCCCCAGGCACATGGCCAGTGCCATCGACAGGTTCCAGTACACGTGAGTGCCTCCCTCTGCCCTCGGGGCTGCTGAAAGGGAACGGCCCGTGAGAGGGTCTGTGTCTGGTGGGCAGCAGGGACTCCCCCGGGAAGGGAGTTCTTGGCCTCAGCATGCCACCCTCAACTGCCCCTCCCCGGGCCACTGTTAGCTCAGTGTGGAGACTGCTCTTTGCTTTTCCTTCCCAAATAAAAGGATAGGGTGGGAGCGACTGGGTCTCGTGGAAGATGTGTGACAGTATGCAGGTATTCTGAACTGACCCAATGTGAATTCAAATCAGCCAGCTTTGCTCTGCTCTGCTGGGGGAGAGGGTGGAGGGGGGAGACAGAGGGACTGTCACACAGTAGGAATTACACTGGTCTCTGCTGACAGTGTCTGTAAGGCATGTGATTAACACATGTGAGTTGGACCATGCTGTTAGTTTAGGGAGGACTGCTATATGCCTTCAGTATCAATGCCTTATTTTTTTTCCCCTTTCTCTTTCAGTCTGCCATACAAGTCCTTCTTTGGGGGTGTATCTGCTCTGACTCCAGAACATTACATGAAGATGAATGGGTTTCCAAACACGTACTGGGGCACTGGTGGTGAAAATGATGACATTGCTACAAGGTACTGTGGCAGGGCTGGGGTGAGAACAGCACCAGGCTGGCCAGTGAAACACAGACAGGGACTGAGCTGGTTCCCCTTAACGTGCTTGCAGTGTTATGGTGACCCAGAGTGCTGCTGGCACTGGGAATGGTTAATGGCAGAAGATGCTCAGATCTGTGGCTCCAGCCATTGTGCACGGGGAGGACAAAGCTTTCCTCAGGCTCTGGAGGGCAGAATGTTGCTGCACATCCTTGTGTCTGCTCCCTCTGGAGTGTGACTGAGGGGTTGTAACCCCCAGCAGCTGACGGGTGACTCCCCTGACAGTACCAGCCCCGAGGGAGGGAAGGAGTGTGCAAGCTTGAGGAGTAAGAGAACCAGGAGGGTACTCAGCAGTTCTCAGACAGGTGGGAATTTAAGTTATGTTGAGTGTAGCTGGGTTGCTCCAAGTATTGCCTAATCATCACCAATACATGGAAATAAGGAACATGAGGAGTTCTAACTCCTGCCTGCAGTGCTGGGGAAGCCTCTGTACTGTTTCCAGTCGGTGGCACCAAGAGCTGATGATTTGAACTGGGATTTCAGTTGCCATGGCAACAGCACCACAGATGTGAGTGCAAGGAGTTTAGCTCAGGTTCTCTGCCTGGTGCAGGTCCCTCAGCTGCCAAGCCAGGGCTGTAGCTGCTCTGCTCAGCTTTGTAGCTGGTGTGTGCCTCCCTCGTGGCACGCTCGGGCCGCGCAGCCAGCCCAGCTCCCGTGTCCTGGGCTCAGCAGAATGTTGTCTGAGGACTGCAGGTTTCACAAAGTGCTGTTCTTCTGGGAAACAAAATGTCAGATTTTTCAAACAGGGAATTCCTGATTTTCCTTTGTGATTGTGTAGAGAATTAGCATTTACTAAAGGAATGGAATACCACCAAGACAATGGTCACATCTGACACTGCAAAGCTGTGTCTGTTCAGCTGGTCTTGGTGCAGCTTGGGCACCTAAGGTGGCTCTCAGTACCTGTGGTGGAGCTGTGCCAGTTCTCAGGAATGCTCTGCCCCACAGAGATCTCTTGGGGCATGCAGGTTATGCAGGTCTCAATAGTCCTTTCTTGGAGGGAAATAAATCACGTGTTGTGTCCCTGAAAACAGCAGTTCTCTGGCCCTTAAGCACATGCAGGCCATGGACACTGCCTCTTCATGAATTACTCACATACTGAGTCTCAACCTGCAGATTTTAGGAATGAGCTGGAGTGGCCAGCTTGATGCAGCTACTGGGATTTTAGGAGGTGCTCAAGCACTTCTTACCAAGCAGCCACAAAGTTAATTAATTACTATTTGAAAGTGGACACTTAAATGTCAAAAAAAACCCCTCCAAATTTCTGGGACCCTGCTTATCAAAGTAGAGTTAGTGGAAAAAAAACTATGCTGGCTGCAGTTGACAGACTGCAGTACTCTGTAATATTAACCCTGGCAAACACTAGGATCTACCTTTTGTTAGAAAAATACACTAATAGGAAGGACTTATGTTAACATTATCAACTACAGGAAAGCCTGTTGGGTGCTTCTTAATAGCAAATGAATTAATTGTTTCCTATTATGATTTCAGCAAAGCTAGTTTAATGTTCTTGCTTTTTGTTTTTTTGGCTGAATGTGCCACAAGCTCATGTTCAGAGAACAAAACAGCCTGTCTAAAACTCAGTCTGAATGTCACACAGCCAGTGAAGTGTTGCCATCATTTGAGGGCTCTGTCCTACAGCCTGTCACCTTTACAGCATCCCTGTGCAGTGCAGCTTGCTGCTGGACCACACCTCAGCAGAAGGCAAGCACCTGGCCCAGGCCTGCCAGGTAGAGCAGCTCAGCTGGGCAAACATCACTCCTGCACTCAGGGGAGTTTCTGCTGTGCAAGAGCTGCCCTGTGCTAGCAGAGCTTTGCTGGCCCTGTGCTAACAGAGCTTTGCTGGCCCTAGCACTACTGCAGGCAGTTTTTACTGGTCAACTAACAGAGATGCCATCAGCAATAGATTGCTTGAAGGCACCCAAAACACCCTTTTTTTAGGAGCTCTGTTCCTTGGGTGCCCTTCTGTCCAGCTGTCCTGCAGCTGAGCAGCTCCTGTTTGCCTGGTGCCCGTGTTTA